ATAGTTTAACAAAGAGCATTTTTATTATGGTCTCAGTATATAACTGATCATGAATAAAACTTTGGACTTTGATTTTTGTAGTCAATTATAAAGTAAATGAACTAGATTTGGTAGTTAAGAATGAGATAAAATAGAGAAAATATTTGTCCTAGTAAATTGAAAGTATTTATAGTAACAGTAGCTCAGGTGAATTATTGCACAAAAAATTTAAAACAAGTCACTTTCAGCATTTACAGAAAAAGTTGATATTTCACATATTTTTATAAAATGTGTTAGAATTTTCTCCTGGCTAATTAGTGATGCATAATTTTAAATTATATGGTTTATAAATTTTTTAAGTTTTCAAAGTGAAGAGGAACTAAAGAGCCTCTTGATGAAGGTGAAAGAGGAGAGTGAAAAAGCTGGCCTAAAACTCAGCATTCAGAAAACTCAGATCATGGTATCCGGTCCCATCACTTCATGGCAAAAAGATGGGGAAAATATGGAAATAGCATCATGTTTCATTTTCTTGGGCTCCAAAATCAATGTGGACAGTGACTTAGCCACAAAATTAAAAGACACTTGCTCCTTGGAAGAATAGCTTAACAAACCTACACAGCATATTAAAAAACAAAGATATCACTTTGCCCTCAAAGTCCATGCAGTCAAAACTGTGGTTTTTCCAGTAGTCATGTGTGGATGTGAGAGTTGGACCATATAGAAGGCTGAGTGCCAAAGAATTGATGCTTTTGTACTGTGGTGATGGAGAAGATTCTTGAGAGTTCCTTGGACTGCAAGGAGATAAATCCAGTCAATCTTAAAGGAAATCGGTCCTGAATATTCATTGAAAGGACTGATACTGAAGCTCCAATACTTTGGCCACCTGATGCAAAGAGCTGACTTATTGGAAAAGACCCTGATGCTGGAAAAGATTGAAGGCAGGAGGAGAAGGGGATGACAGAGGATGAGATGGTTGGATGGCATCACTGACTCAGTGGACATGAGTTTGAGCAAGCTCCAGGAGATGGTGAAGGACAGGAAAGCCTGGTGTGCTATAGTTCATGGGGTTGCAAAGAGTTGGATATGATTGAGCGACTGAACAACAAAAAACAAAAGTTTTCAAATATTGTCCACTGTACTTTCTTTTCTAATATGAAACAGACTGAGCATGCGAATGTGACCCTTTGAAAACTTGTGGTCCCCAAGTGTGGGAGACTCGGAGTGGTCCTCAAGCGTGGCAAGCATGGGACGAAGAGTCCCGGGGCTCACGGCAGAGGAGTAGCTCCTCTGCGTCCTGACCTCGTGACCTCGTGGGGACCCTCGTCGTCAGCTGCAGCCTCCGCCTCGGCACCCACGTCACAGCCCTCTCAATGGAGCCTCTGGGTGACCGCTCCCAGTCAGCCGGAGCACAGTCCATCCAGCACTGTGACAGCTCTCTGTCACAGTGGCCACCTGCTTCCTGGCCAGGGGACCCAGTAGGGGTCCTTCTATGAGACACTTGTCTCACTCTGGGGGCACTTTCTGAGCATAGGAAGCGGCATCAGAGACACCCGGAAAGCCACGGAGCAGCCAGAGCGCGGGCCCCGCAGGGCCGGGCAGGGCCGCCGGGGCGCAGTCCCGCCTGGCCGTCAGTGATGTGGGGCCTCGGGCGCGGTCTCTGAGCCTGTTTCCTGTTCTGCAAATGGCCTTACACAAGCTGGCCGTGAGAGTAAAGAGAGAAGACGGGTTAAAATCATTCACGCAGCGCCCGGCACCCAGTCAGAGCTCAGCAGTGGCCAGTATTAACATTCACATGTTTATACCCTAAAGTCTTACTTTTTGTTCTGTCAGCATGCAGAGATTCCTCTTCTGTTGGTGGACCCGCTTGACTGTTTCGTTTTAGTTCAACGTACAAAGAAACACGATGGTTACGGTTCACTTAGGCAAGTCTGCTGCGGGCAGGAGGTTGTGTCTGGCCGGCATGGCGCTCCACTGGGCCTGGCACCCCGTAGGTCGGCTCCTGCCAGACGTGCGTGTTAGAGGGGTTCCCATGGTACCGTGCGCTTTTCTAAGCAAGATGTGAAAGATTGAGGGCAGGACGAGAAGGGGACAACAGAGGATGAGATGGCTGGATGGCATCACCAACTCGATGGACATGAGTTTGAGTAAACTCCAGGAATTGGTGATGGACAGGGAGGCCTGGTGTGCTGTGCTTCATGGGGTCGCAAAGAGTTGGACATGACTGAGCAACTGAACTGAACTGATTATTCACATACATAGAATTCATCCTTTCAAAGTGTACAGTTTAGCAGATTTTAATATATCCACGAAGATGTGCGGCCATCACTACTATCTAAGTCCAGCATGTTTGTCACCCCCAGCCCCCTGTGAGTGAGCAGTCACTGCCAGCCCCCCGTCCCCCCAGCCCCTGGTGACCACTGACCTGCTTTCTCTGTCTCTGTGGGTTTGTCTGTTCTGGATGTTTCTCATAGATAGAATCATGCGATATGTAAGCTTGTGACCTTGAGTCTGACTCCTGTAACGTTGCAGTGTTTTTGAGATTTGTCCATGTTGCAGGTGCGTCAGAGCTTCATGCCTTTTTGAGGCTGAATACTGTTCCTCACTGCTCCATCCATCGGGTGGTGGAGGTCCATGGTGATAAACAGTCTTGTTCTGGGAAAGTTGTTCAAAGCCAGTGTATCCTTATCAGAATACACATTATGTGCTTATATCCTTCTTTCCTGAGACAAATCGTGTTACTGTCATCTTTTAAAGAGAGGTTTTATAGCATTTGGATACTTCAGATAGAAATCTGGTCTGTACTTTAGAGAGACTTAAAGCTTGTTCTTTGACCAAACCTGGTTCTTTGGTTATGCGCTAACTCTGTGGCCTGTGTGGCCTTCCCAGGGAGAAGGAGGAGCAGCTGACCCGCGTGAGCGAGGGGCAGAGGCTCCAGGCCCAGCAGGCGGACGCCGCGCTGGAGGAGTTCAAGCGGCAGGTGGAGCTGAACTCAGAGAAGGTCTACGCGGAGATGAAGGAGCAGGTGAGAGGCCGCCTCTGGGGCGGAGACGTGCAGGCCTCCCATGGGAAGCAGCGCGTTTACCAGCTCAGAAGGCTCTGCCAGGGTTAGCCCACCGTGGGTCGGGGCTTCAGGTGAGGGCCGGGGTGGACACCCACCTCCCACAGAGCACCGGAAGGACGGGCAGCTCCTCTTGACCGAGACAAGCGCCCCGGAGGAGGGCTCAGCCGGCGGGGCCCTGCTGCCCTCCCACAGGGCGGCCTTCCTGGGCCGCGGGGGGGCCTCCGCTAGGCTGCTCCTGGCGGTGGGCAGGGGACAGAGCGCGGTGGAATGGGGCTGGGGGCCCTCCTCCCCCCTCAGTGCCCCGATTCCTCTTGAAAGCAGTGCCAGAAACCATTCCAAGTCCCGTCCATAGACGCGGTCATGGCCAGACTGTGCCAGGCTTTGGGACACGGGTCAGCTTAGATGTAAAACCCCATGACTGGTCATTTTCTCCAGAGCAAGGCCTGAAGTTACCCTCATCTGTGTCTGTCCATGTGCCGTAGATAGTGTTGCATTGGTCAGTTATGGCAGATTATTTTCTAGTGGCATTTCAGGAGGACAGAGGCTGTCTCCGGTTCTTATGCAAGTGGTATGTTGTATAGTTTTGAGAAAAAGTTAAAAAATTTATAGAAGAATAAAGGAAACAGACACCTAGGTACCCATCATGAAGAATCAACAATTGTCAACAGTGTTTATTTAAATAAAATGTTACACATATAGTTTCATTTTAATTTGCATTTCAAGTCTAATCATGTTATTCTCTCTCCTCTCTTCTCCTGGTCTTTTCAGGAGAGCTCATACTATAATTAATGTATTGTGTATCATTTCAGTGTATGTGTACTTTCATATGCACATGTAATGTCCGTAAGTACCACATGCGTGTATTTTACATATATACATATGTGTTTAATTTCTATGCTTCCATTTTTGAAAAGTTAAAGACTACAAATTTTATGTCTCAGTCTTGTGCACACTTGTACACTGAATTTTATATAGCTGTGGCCTACCTGTAGATTTAGTGCAATGCTTTTAACATTGTATGTGTTTTATCATATGAATATACCATATTTTATATATCAGCTCCCCTATTCGAGAGCATTTAATTGATTTTCAGGTTTTCTTAACTGTTAAGAGTGTTACAGTACTTGTTTGTGATTTCATTTTCAGCTGCAGTTTTCTTCCTCGGGGCCTGAGCACTCACATATGGTAGAAACGTCCCTGTGGAAGGTCACGGGCACAGCCTGTGGGGTTTACAGAACTGGGACTGTGCTTCCTTATTATTTCCTTGATTTGGATTGTGTGGACCTGGGTCCTGAGAGCAAGGTTTGAGACCCCTGCTCACTGCCTTGGGCGAAAGCCAGACTCCTGGTAGAATTTGCGGCTGGAAGGAGGGCCGTTTGGTGCCTGCTCCTGGACGTGCGTCTCTTCCCGGCTCCCTGCTGTGATCAGAGGCCAGGCCCAGGGGAGGCCCATCTGCTCAGATGTGCAGCGGCGCTCACAGGGAGCTCTGTGATCAGCTTAACATTGAAAGGGATACAGAGAATGTTGAAGGAGGGGGCCCCTGGCAAGAAGTCTTGAGCATACCCTGAAGAAGGCTAAAAAAGGGGCTTTTGAAAGTGCCAAGGCTGACATTACAACTTTCCGATAAAAACTAAAACCACAGCAGGCACCTTTGGCTCAATAAATACACCTTTGGGCGTTGGTGATGCAATATTAACAAACTGCCCAATAATGGGTCAGGAGAAAAACAAGCAAACAATATGGGACTTGTGAAAACATTTTGTAGAACAAGAAAAAGACATTTGTATCCAGCAGTCACAGAATAAAAGCACACTTTTGAAAACAGTCTACTGTAGAATTCAGGGAAAAGAAAAAACCAAAAAACCTCAGAGAAGCAGTACCTTTAGTGAGAATACATGATCTATATGAAAGAGGCACATACATCAAGTAAAATTAATGCAATTAAATCTAGATACCTTTTGGAAAAGTACTTAACATCAAGAATAAAATGGAAATCCAATAAGTTTCGTGGCAGAATGAAACTGGAAAAGAAATTGGAGAAATAATGGAGTTTTGAAGGAGAAAGGCTGTGATCCAATTTTATACATAACCAAGGAGCTTCTCACTTCCAGAATCAACAGAAAAACACTTTATTAGTAAGAGTTCACATAACGTATACTGATTGTTTCTTCTCTGGAAAAAAATTATATCAATTCAGAGCAGAAGACACCCAGCAGGTGGGGAAACCATCATAGTAAAGGATGAGCCGAGAACAGTGGGATCCAAAAGACAAAAGCAAAGCCAGCCGGCTGTCACACCTCTAGTCATGAGATAGAACGCCGCAGAAGGCATCTAGTATAGAAAATACAAATTTGATAACAACAGATAATCTGAATCCTCAGGTCACATTATTAAAGTTCACGAAGCTTGGATCAGGATGGGGGAGTACAGTGGCCAACACTCTGCCATGAGATGAGACTCAAAGGATTTGCGAGATGAGGGATGTAGGTTAAAACATTCTTTAGATGTGTAAAACAGGCATTAACAAAATTAACACGATGGTACATTCTCATAAAAATCTTGAGAAGATAAAAGCAAAACTTGAGATATTGCCTAAGAAATAGAGGTAGAAACAGAAGAAAATGTCCAAAAGAAGACAGAGTATATAGCTGCAGTAATAAATAGTGATAGGTTAAGTTTTTCTAATAAGAAAGGTATTGATTAGCTGACTTAAATGAGTATATACTACTTATAAAACATACAACTAAAAGTTACACAAAAGTTATATGTAGAAAACATATCTTATCACTTGTATTCAGAATTAAAGAAAATGTAATACTGTCATATAAATTAACATCAACACAAGTCAGTAAACTGGACAAAGGAGTCTATTTTTGCTTGAGAAAGCCAAGAGTCTTTATGAAATGTGTAAGGAATACATGAAAAAATTGCCATAGTCATGGGATGCTTTAATAAATTTTTCTCCATTCTTGACTGCTCAGGGGGCCAAAACCTAAACAAATAGGAGATCTACATAGCAGTTTATAAAACTACCATATTTCTACTTCCCACTGTTTAAATATGACATATTAAATTCTTACTCCAATGGAGCAGTTACAGAACTAAGTAAACCAATAAATTTCTGAAACTTGACTGCACATACTTTTAACACAATGCTTATTAGTAAAACCAGAAATTAAATTTCAATTAAAATTGCTACATTCACCAAAAACTTTTGTTTTTTGAAAGACACCATTAAAAACAAGAGGAAGTTAAGGCAAGCCAGAGAATTGGAAAATAAAGGATTCACAAATATTTTCAAGAACTCATATCTAAAATATAAAAGAAATCTTACGACACAATAAGCAGAAGACAAACAACCCAGTTAAAAATAGACGGAATATTTGGACATCTCAGAGAAGACTAATAAGCACATAAAGAGATGTTCAGTATTATCATTCGTCAAGGAAATACAAACTAAAACCAAGCAAGATGCCACTGTGTGCTCTTGGAAAAGGTTAAAATTGTAAAGATGAACTGAGGGTGCCAAACATTGGTAAAGGTAAAGGTGTGGTCAGATGTGGTACTTTCACACTGCCAGTGCAAAAATGTTCAACATACACAACCGTCTGTCAGCCGTTCCCTTCCTGTATGTTTAACCAGGAGAATCGAAGTCATATCCAGACAAAGACTTGTACACAAAAGTTGTCAGCAACTTTGTTCACAAAAGCCCAAAACTTGAACAACCCGAATATTCCTCAGAAGTTGGAAGGACAATCGAGATGCAGTGTGTACCATGGAATATGACTTGGGAATAAAACAAAATGGACTGCTGATACCTGCAGCAAGGGACGCGTCTCAGAAGTCCTGCTGAAGGGAAGAAGCCGTGAACAAACAGGGTTCATGCTGTGTGCTCTGCACGTCTAATTGATGTCAGAACTCCCCAGATGATGTCAGCGTTTCTGTTTTGGCAGTGCCCGCCTGATTTGTTTCAGAGCAGAAGCCTCTTCTTCTGTGGGTGGGCTCCAGCTTCAGACCAGTCTCTGTCCTTTGCTGTGCCGGTCTGCTGGGCTGGGGCACTCAGGAGCACATCTAGACTTGTGGCGATTTAAACCCCTCCACCTGGGAACTCCAGGCACTCATGGGACATTCTCCAGGGTAGACCATGTGCTTGGCCATGAAACAGTACTCAGTAAATCTTAAAAGGACTCAGAAGATCTTAAAATCATACAAAATGTGTTCCTTGACCCCGATAATAAATTAGAAACAAACAATAATAAGAAATCTGGGAAAACACCACATGTTTGGAAATTAAATAAGACACTTATGAGTAACTCATGGAGTAAAGGAGATATTACGTTAAAATTAGGAATTATTTTGAACTGAATTAAAATGAAAACATGGCATGTCAAAGTTTACAGAACGCAGCTAACACAGTACTTAGAGAAAAGCTTGTAACATCTGTCTCCAGGAAGAACATTCTCAAATCAGTAACCTAGTTTTTGTCTTAAAAAACCAGAACAGGGAAAGCAGGCTTCTGCTCAGGGAAGCAGAATAAAGGAAATCATAGATATTTACATATATATGTGTTTATGGAAAGCAAAGAAGTAGAAACCATTAAACTAGAGAAAGGCAATGAAGCCAAAATTTGGCTCCTTGAAAAGATTGAATAAAATTGACAAATTTAGCTTGACTGCTGAGGGTAAAATACAAAAAGTGAGGAGAAACAAATGACCAAAGCTAGGGATGCAAAAGGAAAGGACACTGCTGTTGATCTTATAGAAAATGAAATAATTATAATGTGATATTTTAAACACTTGATGCCAACAAACAACAAAAACTTAGGTGATTATGGACAAATTCCTAGGAAGATGCAAATTATTAAAACTGTCTAAAGAAGAGATAGAAAGTCCAAATTGTCCTATGATAGATAAGGATATTTAATTAGCAACTAAAACTCTTTTCACAAGGAAAAGCCCAGGACCAGACGGCTTCCCTGGGGCTGCGTGTGCTGTGCGCTCAGCTGTGTGCTCAGCTTGCAGCCCAGCGAACTGCAGCTGCCACTCACTGGCTCCTCTGTCCACGAGATGCTCCAGGCAGAAGCACTGTGGTTCAGGCAGTAGGAGGATCAAGCAGGGTGGACGAGGAAGAATCATGTTCCTGTCTACCTCTGGGATTCTGTTTTTCAAGACTCCAAGGTGTGCATGATGTGTATTCAAGGTTGTTCATTGTGATGTTATTTATCAAGGGTAAAAAAACTAGAAACTATATGTCAAAAAATATATATAGTTGAACTATAAAGAAAGCTAAGTGCTGAAGAATTGACGCTGTTGAACTGTGGTGTTGGAGAAGACTCTTGAGAGTCCCTTGGACTGCGAGGAGATCCAACCAGTCCATCCTAAAGGAGATCAGTCCTGGGTGTTCATTGGAAGGACTGATGCTGAAGCTGAACCTCCAGTACTTTGGTTACCTGATTCGAAGAGCTGACTCATTTGAAAAGACCCTGATGCTGGGAAAGATTGAGGGCAGGAGGAGAAGGGGACGACAGAGGATGAGATGGTTGGATGGCATCACCGACTCAATGGACATGAGTTTGAGTAAGCTCCAGGAGTTGGTGATGGACAGGGAAGCCTGGTGTGCTGCGGCTCATGGGGTCGCAAAGAGTCACACACGACTGAGCAACTGAAGTGAACTGATGTCAAAACAAGTTGGAGAGAATGTTTTAAAAAAAAAATCCTTGGAGAGAATGTGATCTCAGGAACCATTAAATTAGAAATCCATCTTCCTCTTTCCTCTGCAAAAACTGGCCCCTTTAAAATCAAACCATCTTGAAGATCCAGATGCTAAACCCCTAGTTACTGTTTCCAAGTTAAATGGAGCAAACAAACAACTAGAAGGAAATTAAAAAAAAACAAAAAGGAGAAGAAGAACCCTGCCCAGCCACCAAGTGAGCCTGCAGTAAAACAAGGCCAGCTGAGCCCAAGAGATGGCGTCTGTGCAGAGGATGCGGGCACCGCCCCGCAGCCCGTCCACCCTCACGCCCCACTGCTCTGCCCGGCACCACGTCATCTGTCTTCCTCCTTCGCCAGTTCTCTGTCCCTCTGTGTGATTCTCCCATTTCTGGACCTCCAGAGTCCGCGTGTTCCTACCTTGCAGATGTCCCATCTCTGCGGACCAGTTACCCGACCTGACAGAGGGTCCTCTGTGGTGCATGTGGCTGGGGTCCCCTTGCCCCCACACACCCTCACCCACGTCCTGTCTTTGCCAGCGGTCATCACTGACCTGCCCAGTGGTTCTGGATTCAGACCCATTGAAACATGACAGCAGCTGACCAGTGAGCAATGCTCTGTTCGTTTTCTGTTGGAAGAAAGTTCTTCCATGGTTTCAGTGACAGATAGTTTTGCCAAGTACAGCTGAGTTTCTGAAACACAGAAAGCACCTTTGGTGTGAGTGTAATAATATGGAGCAGCCCCACTTATAAAGGAATCCTTATAGCCAGGCTCATTAGCAAATTGGAGAATTCTGACACAGAAAATTTTAACAGGCAGTAAATACAACATATGTGTCAAAACATGGTAAATTAGATACCCTCCATTTCCAATTGTCACTTGGTTAAAAAGTGTGAATCTGATGTGGCTCAAGTTCTCAAAGAAAGTCAATCAGAAGATTCATTATTTGGAGAATTCATACTGCTTTTGGATGTTTCCACAGTCTGTATTTTCCTTTTCTGTTGTTGTTTTGAACTGTTCTTTTCTCACTGAAGTCTTTTGTGTGAAAGCCAGGAGAGCTCAGGGCATCTTTTTCCACTTGGAAACTGCTGCACATAGAAGACAACGGGAATTTGAATTAAAAAAAGCTTTGAGTTTGTTTTTGAAAGCGAATTGCTGTTTGAAAAATGAGGCCCATGAGAGAAAATGGAACAGACTTTAACTTTTTTAAAAAGTTGCTTCACACTGTTTCTTTCACTTTGAAGAACTTTTTATCTGATTTAAGACTGCTTAAATAACCTAATTTTTACTCCAGTGGACAGCTTCTTACAGTCTAAAAGATTTTGAGTTTAGTTTATCATCTCATTGTTGCTGTTGACTTCATGAAAAAATTCTCAAGTTACAAGGAAGGAGGAATGTCATCTGAATATATCTGTGCTTTTATAAATGTAGATGGGTAACAGACTGAGAGAGAAGGCTCGATACACGGACCATCCATCCTCTCGCCCTTCAGGGGTCATGCTGGCTGATGTAATTAAATGAGGTCTTTTTAGACCAGCTTTAAGGTAATAGAATGTCCAATACAAATAGAAGCATGTTTTCTCAGTTACTTTTTGATGATAATGGGCAAATCTGTCTCCGCTTTCAACATTTGAAAAATTTTGTCTTCAAATGAGATGAGGTGGCAGAGGTAGACTTCTTGAAGGATGTTTAAGTGTTCTCACAGAGCCTGTTGTGTTAATCAGTTCCAGATGTCAACATCCAAAGTCTATGGATAAGTGTTTGGCTTTGAAAAACAAAATTAAACAAAGAAATCAAACAAATAATTAAACCTTAACTCTCATCCTTAAATGCTTAATAGAGTAGTAAGTGAAAGTTTACTCACTACCAAGGAAGACCTGGACGAATTGGGAGATGTACTTGTGTATGGATTTGAAGACTTAGTGTTACAAAGATGTCCTAAAATATTTTTCCTGTTCTTTACTCCATCCCTGTTGGTTCTGCCGTGGTTTAGGCCCCTCTAAGTCCACACCGTGTGTGCGTGCTTAGTTGCTCAGTCCCTGTCCAACTCTTTGCGACCCCACAGACGAGAGCCCACCAGGTTCCCCTGTCCATGGGGTTTCCCAGGCAGGAATACTGGAGTGGGTTGCCATTTCCTCTGGCAGGGGAACTTCCCAACCCAGGGGTTGAATATGTCTCACCTGTGTCTCCTGCGTTAGCGGTGGGTTCTTTACTGGCTGAGCCATCGGGAAAACCTGTAAAAATGTCAGTTCTCCCCAGGTTAATATATAGAATCAACACAATCTCAAAACATTAGCAGTGCTTCTTGCCGGGGGCAGGTGGGGGGCAGTGGTCGGGGAGTGAGGGAAACTGGCAAGCTGATTCTAAACCTGCGTGGAAATACAGCTGGCTCAGAGCAGCCGTGGCAACCTTATGCTACCAGAACTTATACATGCTGCCAAATACTGAGACTGATGTTAAGCTATAGTCATAACTACAGTGTGGTTTTGGCACAAAGATGACCAATGTTTTAGAGGAAAGAGACCAAAAACAGACTCACACACACTACGATCACCCTGTACTGCCATACAGCCGGCAAAGAAGGGCCGGGCCCAGTAAATGGTGCTGTGGCAATGAGGCACTGAACCGAGCATCCACACCCAGGGTCGATAGAGAGCTCCTACAAGTGGATAGGAAGGGGAGCGGTACCAGACACGCATCCGTTGCTTTCCTCTATCAAGGATGTTAGTTCCTACTGAATCTTCAGTCCGGCACAGATGACTGTTTCTCTGTCTTGCTGCCGTTTGTATCTGTCTTATCTGCCTATCTGTCTGTCCTTCTGTCTACATCTATACATATCTGAAAATATTTGAAGGACAATTTCTTATAGTTTATCTAAATATGTATTAAATACAGTAAAATTGTATATGTCTATAGAATTGTATAGTTATCTACTAAATTTATATGTCAGATTACTCAGAACCTAACAACACAAGAGAAATTGACTAGAGAAAGAACAATGACTTTTTACAACCACATTTGACAGAAACGCTAGATCCTGGCCCAGGGTCCATTCCTAGTCTCTTACTAACACAGTAGAGCCCTGAGTTTATTTAGGGCAACATTAGACACGGTTCTAAATTAGCAGCCTCTCACCTTGCAGATGGAGTGTGGCTTCTAATGCAGAGAACTTCTAACGCAGTGAATGAGATGGAAACAGCATACTTAACTTGCTCCTGACAGGAACTGGCAGGAAAGCCCCTTCAGAGGGTTTTCAGCAGCTTCAATGGACCCTTAACCCTTGTCCCCTCGCCCCCGCCCTTTAGGGCTGGGGACTCTGAGCTGCAGACACCACTCGGGCCATCGCGGGAAGCTGAATTGCAGACAGCCGAGCCCTGACATCTGTGAACTGCCGACGCTGCGGCGGAGGACACAGAGCACTGGCGTTGCTTAAGCTCTGGACGCTCAGGTGTTCTCTTTCATGGAGCTCAAGTAACACCCAAGACACCATCGTAGACCTCTCTTCAGCACCTGTGAACGTTAGACATTCACAGAAACACACCCGAGCCCGTTTCTGCTCCTAATTTGATCACCAAGTCCTACACTTAGCTTTCTTGGAAATAGTCATAACTACAGTGTGGTTTTGGCACAAAGATGACCAATGTTTTAGAGGAAAGAGACCAAAAACAGACTCACACACACTACGATCACCCTGTACTGCCATACAGCCGGCAAAGAAGGGCCGGGCCAGTAAATGGTGCTGTGGCAATGAGGCACTGAACCGAGCATCCACACCCAGGGTCGATAGAGAGCTCCTACAAGTGGATAGGAAGGGGAGCGGTACCAGACACGCATCCGTTGCTTTCCTCTATCAAGGATGTTAGTTCCTACTGAATCTTCAGTCCGGCACAGATGACTGTTTCTCTGTCTTGCTGCCGTTTGTATCTGTCTTATCTGCCTATCTGTCTGTCCTTCTGTCTACATCTATACATATCTGAAAATATTTGAAGGACAATTTCTTATAGTTTATCTAAATATGTATTAAATACAGTAAAATTGTATATGTCTATAGAATTGTATAGTTATCTACTAAATTTATATGTCAGATTACTCAGAACCTAACAACACAAGAGAAATTGACTAGAGAAAGAACAATGACTTTTTACAACCACATTTGACAGAAACGCTAGATCCTGGCCCAGGGTCCATTCCTAGTCTCTTACTAACACAGTAGAGCCCTGAGTTTATTTAGGGCAACATTAGACACGGTTCTAAATTGGCAGCCTCTCACCTTGCAGATGGAGTGTGGCTTCTAATGCAGAGAACTTCTAACGCAGTGAATGAGATGGAAACAGCATACTTAACTTGCTCCTGACAGGAACTGGCAGGAAAGCCCCTTCAGAGGGTTTTCAGCAGCTTCAATGGACCCTTAACCCTTGTCCCCTCGCCCCCGCCCTTTAGGGCTGGGGACTCTGAGCTGCAGACACCACTCGGGCCATCGCGGGAAGCTGAATTGCAGACAGCCGAGCCCTGACAACTGTGAACTGCCGACGCTGCGGCGGAGGACACAGAGCGCTGGCGTTGCTTAAGCTCTGGACGCTCAGGTGTTCTCTTTCGTGGAGCTCAAGTAACACCCAAGACACCATCGTAGACCTCTCTTCAGCACCTGTGAACGTTAGACATTCACAGAAACACACCCGAGCCCGTTTCTGCTCCTAATTTGATCACCAAGTCCTACACTCAGCTTTCTTGGAAGCCATTTACCCAGTGTTCTTTTTTCCTTACACTTGAAGTTAAATGGAATATGGAATGATGTATGATTAAGCAGAATCTTTTGTATCTATGGCAACTGAGAACCTTGTGTTTCTACACAAACTTCAAGTGTTTTACAAGACTTGTTTATTTTGGTTTAATTGTGGAAGGAGAATGGAGTGGGGTCTTGCATTTTCGGTCAGTATAAAGTAACACTTATAATGACACCAAATAACACTTATAACACTGAAATTTTCTCAATATTTTGGTATAAGAGGTCTTTCATGTGCTTTAAATTGTTTTCTACTTTGGTTATAGGTAATTTTTTTGAAGGAAGATATCCTATTTTTATGAATGTTGTGTATACAAAGCTCTTAATTTAAAATATTTTAATAATTACTGTTATTTGTAATATTCAATCTGTGCTAAAGTAGAATAAGAACCAAAAATCAACTTCATATGAAGATTTGTCTTAAAAGCCCTGAATAAACCAGGTCTTCTCTCATTGATTTAACTTTCTTGCCTCCTTTCTGTTTTACTTTTGTCTGCCCTCCATTCATCCTTGAGAATTTAATACGTATGTATTCTGCACACCATGGCAATTAATTGATAACTAAGATATAAAAGAATTATAAGTCATAGTTTCTTTTATTCAGGGCTTTTAAGACAAATCTTCATATGAAGTTGATTTTTGGTTCTTATTCTATTTTAGCACAGATTGAATATTACAAATAACAGTAATTATTAAAATATTTTAAATTAAGAGCTTTGTATACACAACATTCATAAAAATAGGATATCTTCCTTCAAAAAAATTATCTATAACCAAAGTAGAAAACAATTTAAAGCACATGAAAGACCTCTTATACCAAAATATTGATGAGTAAGCAAAGCTCGCAATCTGAAACACTCCTGCGCTCTAGAGAAAAGCGTCGTGTGCTGGGAAAGGAAAAGTTTCATCTTCTTGCTCCCAGAGCACAGGAAGAGGAAGGTGTTTCCGTCAGTTGTGGATCAGAGAGCAGACCCCTCCGCCAGGAGGGGAGGCTCGAGTCAGCCCCAGAGAGGGATGGTTGGGTGAGAGAAACACGGAGGATTTTCCAACAGAGAGGACCAAAGCTGCCTCGTGAGTAGCCGCAGCCATTCGGGAAGTGCCAGGGAGCCAGAGTGCAGGGACGGCTTGCGAGAACCAAGTCACAGGCCTCTGGGTAGAGGGCTGATGCGAAGAGCGCTCATTGGAGGAGACAGTCCTGAAACCCAGGTCGTGAGTTAGAAAACAACGTGGGCTCCACTGTGCCTGCCTTAGACATTCCTCAGCAAAGCTGATCTTGGGACTGAGGGCCTGTGTTGGTCATCTTAGAACTCTGATTGCTGAATATGGAAGCTGCCGACCCATGTGTATGATACAATGGTTTTTAATATATTCACACAGTTGTGCAACTATCATCACTCCAGAAAAAGCCCACCCCCAGCCCCCTAGCACCCTAGGCAATCACTAGTCCTCTTTCTGTTTCTGTGGACTTGACTCTTCTGCGAATTTAACACAAATGGGACAGTACAACACATGGCCTTTTCTGCCTGTTCTCTTTTACTTTGAAGACTGTCTTCAAGATCCATCCATGTTGTAATGTGTCTTAGTACTTCATCCGAATAATGTCTCATTGTATGAATATGCCACATTCTGTTCATTCATCAACTGATGGGTATTTGGGCTGTTTCCTCCTTTTTGGCAGTTAGGCCATGAACATTTGAATACAAGTTTTTAGTATGGATTATGTTTTTCATTTCTCACCTAGGAGTGGAATTCCTGGTTCATATGGAATCCATGTGGGTTCACTGTATCATCGCTATGGTTAATCTTTTGAGGAACTGTGAAATTGTCTTCCAAAATGGTTGCATCATTTCATATCCCCACCAGCGCTTGTGGGGGTCTGATTTCTCTGCATCTTCACCAACCCTTGTTATCGCCTGGCTTTTTGACTACAGCCATCCTGGTGGGCGTGAAGTGCAGGTTGCTGTTTTACCTGACACTGCCTAATGACAGTGTGTGGAGCATTTTCTCAGGCGCCTGTTGGCCATCGGTGTATCTTCTTTGGAGGCATGTCTTCCAATCCCTTTGCCCAATATAAAATTGCATTAAATTGCCCATTTATAATTGAGTTGTAAGATTTCTTTATATATACTAGATGCAAGTCCCTTTTCAGATAGATGGTTTGTAAATATTTTCTTCCATTCAGCACACAGCAAGGCCTTAATAAAACCTTGTTGAGTAAGTATTTGGATGTTCAAAATTGTTTTTCTATCACAATGTTATTGTCACAGTAGAGTTTAGTCAACAATATACCAATGATAAGTTCTCTGATTCGAAACTATTAAAACCTATCAAGATAAGTGGACACATCTGTCACCACTTTATCATCTTTAAATTCAGCATTATGATCGGTGAGGTGTTGAAAATCCATCATTTTAATGAATGTGCAACTGACAAAAATATGCGATGCCATTTGCCACTTAAAATTTTGATGTTTGATTTTTAAACTTTGCAGATGGAAAAGGTGGAAGCAGACCTGACTCGGTCCAAGTCTCTCCGTGAGAAGCAGTCCAAGGAGTTCCTGTGGCAGCTGGATGACGTCAAGCAGAGATACGAGCAGCAGGTGCGTCTGCGCCGAGGCCCTGCACGCTCCCCTCGAGCACAGTGTCTGCATGGTGAAAATACTTAGGATAGACAAAGAGTGATTCCCTTTGTTAAATTAATGAATTATAACAAATAAAATAATTAGCATATAAATAAGTAGCGTAGATTATAAGAAAATCTTTAATGTCCCAATAAATAAACTGGCAAAGGAAAGAAACATATAAAGAAGTAAACTGAGTAAATGACCATGTAGAAATATCTTCAGCCTTGGTGTTAATAAAAATGTAAATTAAAGTGATGTACCATTTAAAGCTGGCAAAAGTTTAGTAAAATTGGCACTTTCATATATTGCTAGTGGCATTGTGTTAATGTAGCCAAAACAATTTTTGTAGCATCTACTAAGAGTCATGAAAAATGTTTACATTTTCTGGCCCAATTATCCTTAGCCTTGAAAATCAGACAGAAATATTCAAACAATGATGTTAATTATTTTTTAGATGGTTGATTCTTTTCTACATGCTCTACTTTCTACACTGATAGTCTTTTTAACGTGACAGTCCCTTTTTTTAGGGTAAAAATATATATATTCCTTTGAAAGACCATTAAGCTTCAAAGGCTTTTCTCAGAGTGATAGATTTGAAGCTGTACCAGATTTTTGTCTTTTATAGTCTTGGTCAAAAATATTTAATAAGGAAAATTGATGAATTATTTAAAGGATTCATACTATTAATAGAAACCATACACTATTGCATCAGTCTTATTTCATTTTCATGAAAGAGAAATGATATCGATGTTTGACGAGTGTATAATAGGAGTTTTTGGAAAACCACTCGAAGATCTCTGAGGTCAGTGCAGATTTAGCCTGTTTCTCTTCTTCCTGCGTCGTGAGCCGATCATCAACACCCTCGCTGAGCGTGAAGCTTCCAGACATCACTTAGGAAGCGGAAGCATGAGCTCGGGAGTGTTAGGAGAACATTCATTGGCCTGATAATGTACAAACTTTAAAAACCCCTTTTTAAGCAGAAAATTCCATCAGCCAGAATGGTAGTCCCCTGACCACTCCAAACTGCCGACGTTTTCACGCTGAAAGTGTACCATGAGGAAAGACAGGCACAGAGTCCTTTCCCTGAGGCGAAGCCTAGCGGACTCCCGTCTGTGAGCAGGTGGCCCTGGGGATGGGCAGGGGTGGGGGCGGGGCTTCGCTCAGCCGTGGGCGGGGCCCCCGGGGCGTGGGGTGGGGCCAGCTGTGGGTGTGTCTGCGGGGTGTGCGGGGGGGTCCGGCTCTGAGTGACCAGAGTCGCCGCGGCCTCTGCGGGGCGCGCGGGGGGCCGGCTCCGAGTGACCAGAGTCGCGGCGGCCTCTGAGCAGGTGGCCCTGGGGATGGGCAGGGGTGNCGGCTCTGAGTGACCAGAGTCGCCACACGCGAGATTTCCAGGTGCATCGCAGGGCGATGAGGTGCACATAGTTACCACCTCAGACGCAGAGTTGTTAGCAACCGGGATCCGGAATCAGCTTCTGAAGATTTAAACTGCTGAAATTAGGATTGTTTACTGGGACTGAAGGTAAAATTCCGCGCTTCGTCTCAGACAGTCATTGGCAGAAAGTATGCGGCGGGGGCTGGGTGGGGTTGTCGGGGACTGAGTGACCAGGAAGAGAGGAAGAACCCGGAACAACGGGTCGTGGCCGGTAAAAGGTAGTCTCCATGGATTGTCCACCTATCAGGTTGCGAGGAGTAGTTCTGTTCTGGTCACTGCATTTTAAGCAGGAGGATAAAAAACGCAAATATGTTCAAAGGAGAGTTTCCAGAGCTAAGGACCTGTGGGGTTAGGTCAGAGGAGTGTTTCAAGGAGTAAGGATATTTGCCAAGAGAGGACGAGACTCCGGAGCATTGCATGTTATGTGTTTTTAAATTCCAGGTCTGTAATTCCAGGTCTGGGGAAGTCTTACGGGTGGTCTGTGTGGTGAAAGTCACTCAGTCGTGTCCAACTCTGTGCGACCCCGTAGACTATAGAGTCCATGGAATTCTCCAGGCCAGAATACTGGAATGGATAGCTGTTCTCTTCTCCAGGGAATCTTCCCAACCCAGGATCGAACCCAGGATTCTTTACCAGCTGAGCCACCAGAGAAGCCCAATAGTAATTGTAATAGCCTGCAATCAGGATGACACACACCAGGCCAGCCCCATTTCTACCTGCTTTACAGACTTCAGCCCCTTCCCATCCTCACAGTCATGCTGAGAAGCAGGTCCATCATCTGTTTCTCCCAGTCGTGGAGACTGAGCTCATCTGGCCAGAGGGGCCACACAGTGAACAGGTGACGGGGTTGGACGTGAACTTGAGTTGTGCTCTTCATGTTCACAGGCTCCGGGGTGTCTGGGGACAGAAATTGAGCCTCTGGGTGAATGGTATTATGGGAACATTTTGAGTTGTCTCAAGGTCATTCTTTCCTAAAGGCTTATTCCAATGTGCAGTGGTTTGTCTGGTGAGAAAGTGAGTTTCCCTCCTGAGTGTGTGGAGGTGACTGTCCTGAGTGCTGAGGGCAGAGGGTCCCTTCCAGGTCCGACATCGGTGACCGTCTGCAGCTTCCATCAGACCCCAGCCCCTCTGTGTGGCTCTGGACAACTGCAGGCGGCTCCGAGTCCTTTACCTATACCCCTTTCTATACCCGCCTGCCTTCTCTGCCTGCCGTTGAAGTGCAAGGATGACAACTTTCCCTCATCTCATCTTACTTTTCTGAAGAACCACAAGCCTTGAGTGTTGTGGGTGTAGCGTTTCACTCTGGAAGGAGATGTACATGCCACCGGTCCCAGCTTCTCAGGCCTGGGTAGGCGACCCCTGGGGTGCATGAGCGCTGGGGTGGAGGGGCTGACGCCTGCATCTTACAGTGTTGGACTCACTTGATTATTTGGTGGGAAAGCAAAGTGGTTTTACTATTGAGGTAACGTTCATATTAAAACAAACAGAGACTTTTCCTGTTTTGTAAAAATGCACAGTTCTCATGAATTTTGTAGGATAAAACAGGGCATTTCAAAGCAACTTGCAGTTTGCAGAGTCTGCTCCAGGCTGAGGCCTCAGATCCCGGGGGGATACTATTCATCTTCGCCGCTGTGAGGGATGCTTTGGTGGAAAAGTTTTAGAAGCACTTATCCGGTCTAATCCTCACATTTTATAATGAGGGAGCCCGCATCCAGAGGAAATGAATGACTGGTGCCTTCTGGGCCTCAATTTCCTTACTCGGTGCTACTCGCGAGCCCCTCCCATGTAGACAGCCCCTCCCACGTAGACAGCCTAGTGCCAGGAACTGTAATGAAGTGAAAAAAGCAGAGTGGTATTTTGAAGCATTTCAGCCCAAATGCAGGCATAAAGTGTGCAGATGTGGAGAGACAACATCAAACACATGGGATAAACACTCACACAAATATCCTGCGAAGCCCAAGCTTTCATCAAGATTTCCTGTTTCTTTCCTGTATGACCCGTTGGAACAGAGAGACCATTCTAATTGTCTTTTCACAAGCCTCACTCAAGTTGGAAACAAACAACAAAGCAGGCATGCTAGGATTTCCTGAACTGTGGAGATTTTTTTTTTTTTTTGGCAATTCCAGCATTTCATTCTTTAATCTTATATTTTATATCTTCTCTTTTCCCTGCAAAGCCTTTAAAGGGAAATGTAGTTCAACAGATAAACAAGTGGCCAGATTCTCCAGGAAGAATAAATACTTACTGTTGAGGATGATTAGAAACACTGGCCAGCCCAGTCCTTACACGACACCACTGTTTGGAACAAAATGTTTTGGTAGCAAAGACAAGCCAGGAATTATACAAGATAAGAGTGCAACTGGGACATTTGAAGATCAGTTGAGATGTTTGAGAAACAGCATGCAGTTCCCAGTTTTTTCTCTGTAAATATTACCTAGATTTTTTAGGTGATATAACCTGAAAACATGGACCTGTTTTGAATCAGACTGTTAGTCTCCACTGGGAAAGGACACAGTGGAAAGTGAGGGTGTGAGACAGGGAAGGGGGCCCCACACAGCGAGGGGTGGCACCCATGAGTGGGGGCAGGGCTGGGCCTCAGCGTCGGGGGAAGGGGGCACCAGCACAGAGGTCTGCGATCTGCAGTTGGAAAGCAGGGGTGTTCTGACTGCTGAGGGCTTCCTCTGTGCGACAGGAGAGAAGACTGTTGACGCTGAAGGCATCACGTGGACAGGGGAGCCAAGGCGGGCTGGTGACAGCAGGGCTGCTCTGACAGCAGCTGCTCAGTGAAGTTTCTGTCGGGTGGTGAGGCCTCAGGTGAGGTTAGTGACCATGGATTTGCAGGTCTCCCTAAAAATTCTTTGAAATGGATTTCTGTGTGGTTTATTAATTTCTATGTCTAGTATGCCCCTGTTTTCCTGTCTTATTGCTCACCTTATCATACTCTCTTAACAAAGCCTTTCTTTCTTGGCTTTCCTTTTTTAAGTTTGTGATCATCTTTGAGCGTCATTATGATCACTGGACCCCTTGGTGGTGATGAAGACAAGTGCAGAGCCTGGTCTTTCAGACTCTTCCCTTCCATAGCCACCTGATCCAGGCATGCGGCTGCACTGCACAGCACAAAGGGGTCCTCCAGATACTTGGCGTCCTGGCGTTCAGGCTGTGAAGTGCTGGGAGCCCAGGCTCGCAGAACCACATTGGCAGTTGGTGAAAAGTACCTATAGCCCCACCTCTTCTTCCCTATTCCCCCACCTTTTCTTGGCGTGGAATTGTTATTGTCTAGGTTCATACAAATGGAACCTTTCCCTCGAGTGGGATTGAAGGGGGCAAAGATGAATGTGGTTTTTTTTCAGTGACCGTCACATGAAGATGATTTATTTTAGGGATACCTCATCTTAAAAAGGGCTTCCCCGGTGGCACAGTGGCAGAGAACTCGCCTACCAATGCAAAAGACAAAGGAGACTCAAGTTTGATCCCTGGGTTGGGAAGATCCCCTGGAGGAAGAAATGGCAATCCACTCCAGTATTCTTGCCTGGGGAGTTCCATGGACAGAGGAGCCTGGTGGGCTACAGTCCGTGGGGTCACAAAGAGTCGAACACAACTGAAGCAACTGAGCACTTTCTGCACTTGGGTACAATAGAAAAACTATTCTATGATACTAGAAAAAATGTTTCCTAGGTAGTGAAACGGCTCAGCAGTGATCCCACTCTCCAGATTCCTTCAACGTCTAAGCTCAAATCCTGTCCTTCATCACCTAATTCACGTTTACTGAGCAGCCCCTCTTTGCGAACACTGCGTGGTGCTTCGATGTGGCGGTGTTCACAGTGGCGTCTGCCATGGTGGTGGGGAGCCCACAGCCCCCCAGACTGAGGACGAAGTGTGAGGTGAGGCCGTGACCACTGCTTGGAGACGCAGCAGGACACTGCGTCTGAGTACAGGGCCCACTACGCAAGCGTGTCCTTTGATCTTTGATGTTAGATGGGCGAGGCTTTCGGATGAATGTGGAATGGTGCGTGAAGGAGAGAGGGGACTCGGGTTTTCCAGCTGAGCGACCAGGTGAACAAACAGCGGTGACAGACACTGACTCACAGAGAGGAACTGCCTGGACTGAGCTGGGGATGCAGCGACATTTAGACGTGGGGACCAGAGGGAGGAAGTGGCAAGAATGCCCGAGAGCAGCCCGCAGGGCGGTGGGTGGGTGCAGCATCCCTTGCCGTGCGCAGCTGGGCCACAGGCAGGAGACAAGGACCTGAGTCCCCAGCCATGTAGGCGTCGCCAGACAGGAAGCTGGCTGGAGGCCGACAGCTGCCCGCTGCGGTGGCAGGAAGGTCTTCGGCCCCTTGATGAGTCCAGGCCAGTAGAACGGGGGCAGCAGCCCGCAACGCAGGGGACGGAACGGGAGCAGACCCTCTGCCATCCAGCATCAGGTGTGGTGGCGGCGGCGGAGGCGTGGGGGACTGCCGCCCTCCTGCTGCCAGCCCCGGCGGCGGCCGAGCCGGGTCAGGGGAGCGTTGTGCTCAGGACGCTCTCCAGGCTCCGGCTCTCACGTTTGCGTCCACTTGACCCGAGAGCGGAGACGGTTGTGCTGCAGGGCGGCTCTCCCCCGGGCTCCCAGCTGGCAGCCCCTCCTCCTCCTCCTGGAGCCGGAGAACAGGGAGGGCCTTCCTTCCCACTCCTGCAGCTGCAGCTCATCGCACACCGAGGCAGCATGCGCTTGTGTCATCTGGTGACTTTGAGCTCATTTCAGCTAATATTTGTCATTCCTCCTTTTTTATATGTTGGGTGCATTCTGTCATGTCTATAACTTCCTTTTCTGGCTTTAGGATTTCTGACTTGAAGGTATATTACTGGGACAGTTGATCTTCTATGTATTGTGTACCGAGAAGTGATGACTTGCTCCATCCCATTTGTATTTTAAAATAAGATTAATTAACAGGTTAATAATGTAAGATTACTAATAGGTCTTCAGGTAGTATTGGAGAAGAAAATGGCAACCCACTCTAGTATTCTTGCCCGGGAAACCCCATGGACAGAGGAGCCTGGCTGGCTGCAGTCCATGGGGTCACAGAGAGTTGGACATGAATGAGTGACTGAACAATAACAGGCAGCGTTTGCTCACACTGAGCCAGTTCTGAGAACTTAGGGTTCATATTCGAGACCCTCAGAGACTTGGCCGTCCAGCCCACCCAGCCCGGTCTCTCAGGCGTGGCGTGTGCTCCTGCCCCAGGCACTTGTATGGAGCCTCTGGTGGAGGGAGGAGGCCGTGGTCAGACTGTGGCAGGATCCAGTCCGAGGGCGAGGTCCGTGCCTTCAGTGCCTCGGAATCCCGGCCGGAGTGTGCTGGGGTGCGTCATGGGTGGAGCACGACCCTTCTTGGTCTCCTGTTTGAAGATTCCTTGTGAGTCAACCTTGCAGTTTCTGTGCTACACAGCCGTTTCCTCTCCCAGACCCGGCCCCCGCTGCTGAGTCCAGGATCACAAAGGACTGGCTACCAGATGACTCGCCAGTGTGCTTTCCTGCCCGGCCAGTTCCAGGCGCACCACTCTGAGCACTGAGGCCTTCAGCGATGGGCCTCCTCCCCCCAGAGCACTGACATGGAGACCTTACTGAGACTTGTTCCCCCTGCGGATGTCAACTGCTGTCCCGTCCTCCACACAGTCCCTGCGTGCCACCTCCCAGTCACCGTGAGCTCCGTTACACACGACTGTGGTCAGTTAGACGTGTGCAGTGGCTCCAGGTGAAGGGACACGCTGCTTCAGCTCACTGTTGAGACGTGCCCACGTGCAAAGGACATGTATCTACACTTAGGGGCTGGGCTGAATTTTATCACAATCCACCTTGATGATGGCATTGGACATGGTTATGAATATTACCCTTAAGATGTTCCTGAAACACTAGGGTTTCTCTCCTGGACTCTACTGTTAATCTGGGGGGGACCCCCTTGCCTGAAATTGATGACAGTGAGGAAACCAAAGGGCTTGTGACATCTAGAAGTTGGTCAGGCAGCAGTGGATCAGGCGGTCAGGACTGAGCTATTTCACTTGCAAAGGCTCTGTGCCCTTGAGACTTCAGTAACCAGCCTCACCGAGCAGCAGGCCCTGACACAAGAGCAAACTGTTTGAATAGTTTAGTTTATGAACAGCTATCTTTAGGCTTCAGATGCCGTTCTCTCTTTCATCTGTGCCTGGTTTTGAAAATGAATGAACTGAAATGTGAACATGAGCAGGATCCCTGCCCGCCTGTTGGCGCGCCTCGGATAACGCGGCGTTTCTGTGCAGGGGCACCGGCCGCCGAGCCTGGAGCGCGGCTGCAGCGGTGCTGCTGACCTCTCGGCCAGCCCCGCTCTCGTGTCTGTTCTTGGGGGAGAACTTCCGTGGTTCTTCTGCCTCAATTGTGCGTCTGTCGGTTACTTTTCCTTAGAGTATCGTAAAATATTTTGCTTTCTATCATTTTTAAATCACACCCATTCTCTTCATTTTTTTTTGAGACTTTTGAGAATCAGATCTGAGTAGAACATTTTAGCTCCTTCTATTTCCTTGTTACATGTTTAAATCTTCTAAAATATATAATTTCATTATTATAATGCTTGATAGTATAATACTGAGCAGGAATAATAATGTGTCCAAGACTATTCTAAAAATATCCCAACTCAATAATTCATATACTTGGCTGCCTGAAAATGATGCAGTAATGTCAATAGAATTTTAAATTCTCTTTTTTGTTGGGATTAACATTGTAATTGTGTGACTCACAGAGTCAACCATGCACATTTATTTTAAATAATCATAGAAAACTGTTCCAGTTGGCATAGTATATAAGAAGAACACTTATATTTTTGTTTATTGCATATAATGGAATAATATGAAAGAAAAATCTGTCATTTTTAAAAGACATAAATTCGCAAGCATGCATCTGTGTTCTTAGATGCAAAATAAAAATTTCCATATTATTTTATATGCTATCCTATTCGATATGTATGTGTATTCGAGAATTAGGACACTTTCTTCTAAATAGTGGAAAAATGAATGAGTGGTCAGGAATTGATCGTTGATTTTCCCACTCTCAAAGAAAATCACAATAATCAAACTGTTTTGAAACGTACATTTAAAAGCACTTTTAATCTGCGTTTTGTTTCTTAATTTGCAATTAGAGGACAAGAGTGGTAAATCTCCAAAGAAAATAGCTCCTGAAGTGTGGTGCAGGCTGCACGCCTGGAGAAATGAATGCTATAGCTTTAAGATAAGGTAGTCTGGTGATTCAGTGCACGAAACTAGATCGATTTGGAGCAGGCTCCTACTGTTAGCTTTTTTGAAGATGGATTCTCACGCCGACTATAACGCCACATATTCTCGATAACAGCAGTTTTTCCCCCTGAAATCCACCAAAACTGAAGAAAAATCCAAGTGACTGTTCCGCGCAGCTGTGTGGCCTGGAGTTCACTGGGGAGGCTGGCGTCCTGCAGTCCCCATTCAGCACCTGCTTCAAAGGCAGCCTGGCCGGCTATAGTGTGCGGGCCAGGTAGGGTGCCATTGTGTGCGGCCCGGAGGATTAGTATCAAAGCTGCGGCGACCAGGCCCTCGGTCTCCGGCTGCCACTCAGTCTAGCGGGGCGCGGCTCAGACCGGCCAAGGTCACCGTCTCCAGCGTGGAGTGGACTGGGAAAGCACCCTGAGAATGGCGTGCTTTTTCTGAAATCATGGCGCGGGCTGGCGGCGCAGCAGGTGCCCCCTGGAGCACACCACATCTGTTTGTGTTGGTGTCCCGTGGCTGACAACGAGATAATAGAGCTTTGAGATTTATCATTTTATTTTAAGAAAGACAACTGTATGTACAATAATCCAGATGCGTACTTAGCTTCGATCTTTTATTTGAAAACCATAAAGAAAACAGACCGATTTAATTGCTGCTTTTTACATGTATGTATTTAAGCAAAAAAGCAAAGCGTACTGACTATTAACCATTTACAACCGTTGCTGGTCAGTGATACCCAAATTCTTGGGGAGGAGATACCTAGCATTCGACATAATTTTTTTTTTCAATATTCAGGCATTTGTGTCAACAGATTGCAGAAGGATTTACTGAATATTCCCAACTGTCTTAAATATTGGGAGATTTAGATAAAATCCACCCCCACACCCAATGAGAGTATTTTAAGGGTGAGGTAATGATGACGCAAAAAATAAAATTTTCAACTTGGGCAAATTAGAGAAAAATTAAGCTGTCCATGAGTTGTCATGACGACAAGGATGTTCTGTTGATGAACTGTCCTCATTGTCCAATCAGATAGTAGAGCTGAAGCTGGAGCATGAACAGGAGAAGACGCACCTATTACAGCAGCATAACGCGGAGAAGGAGAGCCTAGTCCGAGACCACGAACGGGAAGTCGGGGATCTGGAGAATCAGCTCCGCGCTGCCAACATGGAGCACGAAAATCAAATCCAAGAGTCCAAGAAACGAGACTCACAGGTAATTACCAACGATATTTGATAAAACGGGTATCCATTTTTAAACAGTCATCAGCGTTTCATGTTTTCTGATTATGCTTGTTGGTGCACGCTATTTGATCATTTGCAAAACTGACATATAAATGTGATTTTTTGTTGTTTTCTCCCTACCCCCCTTTTTGGGGGGATGAATAACGCTTTAACTACAGAAACCACAGGTAGCCAGATTAAAAATCCCATGGCGCGCTATAACTTGGCCCCTTTTTTATAATCTTGTCTCAGTTCCTTTCATGATGGATTTTTTTTTAAGGTATCTGCCCCTTACCCCTCCCCTCAGCCTTAGCAAATCCCTAGGAAATGTTATCAGCCTCACTCCTTGCTTTTTGTTTTAATCTCTGTAGGTAATCAAGCAGCTGTTTTAATATTTGCTTTTCCTTTCTAGTGTTGCTTTTTTCCTTTAGACTCTATACTTGATTAGATTACTGAGATGATAATTGATAAAAATGCCTCCAGAGAAGGGCTGTTTCCCACCAGGTCTGTCGCTTTCTCCTACATGCGCATACACACGCCTCCCAGCCTCATCTCTGTAGTCCCTGTTGGAAGCCATTTGGCAGAATAACCCCCAGCTGTGGTAGCATTTGACTCTTCAAACTTATGGATGAAATGTGCACTGTCAGCATGGAAAATTATCTTTATAAATTTCAGATGAAAAAAAAATCTTATTGGGTGTGTTTCTTTGTGGTAGGACACACTCTTTAGGGTATATATAATCAAAGGCCTTTAGTGTGTCCTCTTGGGGAGGTCGCTGTGAAATTTCATTAAAGAAAAATTGAAGAGCAATTGGTAACAATAAAAAGATAATTTTCTCTTCTAACAAGACCATATCATCCACGAGGTCTAAATACCCCTTTCTCATTGAAATCTCACCATATCATACACACCCCTCACAAGCTTCTCCTCAAATACATTCCTCCCCAAATAATATAATTTTTAAGCAAACGAGATAGACCTATTTGTTATAAGATGTGTTTAAACAATTTTATAATTATCTGAATGTACAAATTCTACTGATTAAGTAAGGTGTTGGATCTTGAGTCAGGGCGGGAGGCGGGAGGCAAAGAATAGGAGTTGTTGGTCGCTTTCATTTGACCTTGAGTTGTCTTTTACTTTCGGATAACGATGGAGGCAATATGAATATACTCGGCACAGGCTTTTTTTTTTTTTTTTGGTCAATAATATGGATTTCTAGGAAAATTAGGTGAATTTGTTTTGTGGGCTTTGTTAACTAAGAGGTAGTCATTGTAGCAGCCATGGGACCAGCGTAGGCAGGTGCTTCCTGTGAAACCAACGTGTGCTGTGTTTCTGCCACTGACTTCATTAGAGCCTTCATAAGATACATGCTGGTCTTTTGAGGGTCGGTCATGCAGTTTATTAAGAATGTTTTCACACTTACAGTCTCCTTCGAAGATGATGTGAAGCCTTACCATTGTCTCTTTGAGAAGGTATTTGATTTCTGAGCCAGGGTAGGGTCTGTTTGCATGGTAGAATAATTGATACACTTAAAAACATTAATTTATCCAACTTCTAACTATTTTCGTGGTGTTGTAGAAAGCCGACACAAACAGGCCAAATTTAGAGGGAATCTTTGCGGTTTTGCATATGTCGTGTCTACCATGTGCAGGGTGCGGTTCATTCAGTGACAACAAAAGGGAGATTTTGGAATCGTCAGGTGCACAATTAAGCCGTGGGGAGAGCATAATAATGTCACCAATTGAGTTTCTTCTAATTGAAGTGTTAATCTGACCTCCTCAAACACTGTAATATGTGACTATTTCTCACGTTTTCTGTCTTTCTTGGAATAATTGGAATTGCTGTCCAGGAATTCAAGGGAGCAATGGAAACTTAGGCTAAATGCATTCTGGATCAAAATGAAAAATGATTTTCTGCAGAAGCTATACTAAATTGTTTTCAGGGAACATATTTTCTAAAAAACTCTGTGTCAATAAGCTATATTTTAAAAAATCTAATCACATATACCAAAATGCTAACAACTTGTATTCATTTTTGGCTATTTATTGGGGCTATTAATTCAGTTTCCTCAGGTAAGTCCTAAATTTTCCAACTATATCTTTTCATGATTGTGGTCTAAATAATCTAATGTATAATACCTTTTAGGTTCTGAATTACGTTTATAAATTTCAAAAAAAGCCCAAAGTGACATATGTTTTTAAGAAATAGCAGATGCCTTTTAAACATGGCCGCTTTGTGGTTTGATGCGGGAGCCGCAGGCCTGCTGTAGACGCCGGCGGTGCGGCGTTCTGTCTGAGGCCGGGGCGGCGCTGGATGCTCGGTCCAGCTCGGCAGCTGTGGAGGCCATTTTGTAAAAAGGACCAGTCGGAACCTTGACCGAGGGAGCTCCGGGGGATTATCTGTTTGGGGCGTGCGGCTTTGTCGGCTGCTTTTCATCAGTCAGATTCTTGAGTGCAGGCAATGTGCTAAAAAATCCACTCTTGGCTCCTTTTGACTATGTAATACATTGTGTACTAATAAGAAAACCAGTGTTACAAAGTACAGACATCTGCCTCGAGGTGAACCAAGACAACCGGGAGCTCCTTTCAGTGAAGGTGCTGTATAGTTATTGTAAGTGCGTCGTTATTCTAGCAATTTCTGTTTTATAGAGAAACAACAAGATACAGTAATACCATTAAGGACAGTTAACCATTTCTCATTTTATTTGGTGCATTGAGCTAATTAGTCTATGCATATATTTTTTATCATAATTCCCTGGTTTTCAGTGATGGGCTAGTTTCTGTTGCGATGCTCACATTTGCTCAAATGCACATTACCTCCCCCTTCGTGTAGGATGTGCAGTCTGGCGTGTCCCCGAGGGGCATGAGTAGATGTCAGGGCGTACAGAAGTTCACACCCTCGTTAGCAAATATTTCTCACTTGCCAGATCCCACTTATTGAAGATCCTCTGGTGAGTGACTTGCTTGATTCCATCCTATTTTTTAATATAAAGGTGATACATAGTTTTGTTGCAATCATGTTAGGAAACCTTTGTCTGATGTGGTAGTCCTCATGTAATTCTTGTTTTGCTTTTGAACTGCAGTGTAGTAAAAGAATTTCTGCAGTTTGCCCCTTGAAATTGAGGAAAAGCAGGACATAGATTCCTTGATCCCTTGGTGTGCTTTTAGTACCCGGAACCACTCAAGGATTGCTTGATCTCTGAGGTTTGCTGCCTAAGTGAACGGTATACGTGAGCCCCACAGAGACCGTCCCAGAGTGGCTTCGTGGTCCGCCCAGGGGCTGTCACCGTCTGGGGATGCTGAGGTGCAGACAGGAGAGGGGTGTGGGTGACACAGAGGCTGCTGGGTGCCACCACGTGTAGACTGCAGAGCAGTCATCATGAAATGGGTCTAGCCTGACGACCCTGGCATCCTGATGTCTTTCTCGACTCCTTGAACTGAAAACCGTGGTTGTAAGAGGAACAGTTTTGGGTAAAAGATGGAACATCTGGATTTTGCCGTATTGACTTAGTAAGCGGCTATGTGCTATTGCTGGTTCTAAAATGTGCGGGTTTTAGATCTCCTCTTCTTTCTCTCCTGCTTTAAAAAGTTCTCTGAAAAAGATATTTATAATAGACAATTTTAACAATTATATCTTAATAGTTCCTTGGTTTTCAGCGATGGGCTACTTTATGTCGTGATACTTACATTTGCTAAAATGCAGTCTTCCCCCCCTGTTTAAGATGTTCAGTCTGGTATGTCCCTGAGGGTGTAACATGTTAGAAAAAGAAAAGACCTTCAGATCAGTAGATGTCATTTATAAACGGGGTGCACATGTGCAGTGGATTCAGCGCGGGCTGTTATTCTTCAAAGATTACTCTAAGGGTGACTTTAACAGTGCGTGGTTTCTGAGCATTGTTGCTGCACCTGTATGGGGTCTCTGGGCTTTGAGGGGGCTGGCACTTTTTCTATTGAAAACATTTGATTTTAATTTCTTTGTATTCCAAGCACTTCTAAAAAGGATTTGAGGCAGCATTTTATGATAAACACATACTTATACAGGTGAAATATAGCTGAAAATAATAATTAAGCAATGAATGATATTAACCACATCAGAAAATCCATACTTTTAAAGAACATGCTCCAGCTAAGTACAAGTTTTAGCTCAGAGCTTGCCTGGAAGCTGAAGTGAAGAGTAAAACATGATGAATCATGCAAGCCTAAGGATCTAATGTAAGAGGTCATACCAGTTCATTATTTTTCTAGCTCTCAGTTCTGAGAGGAACTTAAGATACAGGGCTTAATATGAAAGGTACTGCTAGTGTAACTGATGATGCTCCGTAGGTGTGAAAACATTTGGGAAAAAAAACCCAGTGGGAAAAACGTAATTAGCAGGTTTATTTTAATGTGCCAAATTTTCATTTTAGTTTATGGATAATGTCATTATCCTCAACATCAAAAAACACAGCTGCTTTGAGAGATCCAATTTTGTAGATATTATGAATCATAAGAAAGCATATTCTAAGTCACAAGCTTAAAAATTTCTATACTGTCACGACATGACTATTCCAGAAACCCTTATAAAAGATCGCTAGGGTGCTACAATTAGAAACTTGGCTGAAATTGAAAATTCTTTAAAAGTCAATGCCCTAATGTTAGTTTCCAGGTGTTGCTGTCTTCCTTACCTCTGATTCTCTTGTCCTCTGAATTGATACTGTGGAAAACTGTAATAAATAATAAATCAAATGGTAATTTGGTCCGGGAGCACAGGGTATTTGTACCTGCCCTAAAATGGTTCACTCCCTACCTGCATAACCAGAGTCGTGTTTCATCATCAGCATTTTTTCACTGATGTCACCTGCTTTGTTTCGGGGTAGTAGATATTTTTATCTCTTTGGGTCACGCTGGACTCTGGACTGGTTGCTTGGATGAACCGAATGACGTCAACCATCCCCCACTCCTGTGACAAGGCTGCTGCTCCTCGTGCTCCCCCGCTTCGGTGCTCCCCTCCTCT